CATACAAATATTTCCATTATTTCAGGGAACTAACAGCAAAGTTCTTCAAGTACATTTTCTTGAAAAAACTATGTAAGTAGAAAGCAGTGTATAACATCTATTTGTATATAATGAGTAGTATAAATTTATCCTTTACATATATGTATATTCAACAGATTTGTAATTTTGGTAAAGGAATAGAGAAAGAAGGATTTTAATGGAAAATGAGAGTTATAATAGTTTCTACAAACTTACCTAAATATGTATATTTTGTTTCAGATGCGTGTACCATGAAATATTCAGTTTAGAGTTAAAACTATTATGGTCAATGATAACAGTGGAACTTATCGAATACAAAATTGTATATTAAAAAAGTGGTAAATTTTATAATGATTCAGCCATATTAAAGATATATACAAATAGTCTTATAATCGTTCTACATGCAATTGGCTCTTTTCTTCCATCAGTATTTTTGCCTTGTTATCTACTTTACCGACTGTTTCTTCCTCTCACGTACAAAAATATCCATTTCCAATCTTTTCATTGTTAATCTATTATTTCCTCAATTTCTTATTCTACATTTTCTTTATCGTTCTCTTTCTCTCTTTCAAATTTCTAACGTCATACTTTTTTTGTCTCTCCACTTCTTTTCTTGCAATTTATTTTACCGGACCTTATCCATGCACGTTTACACAAATCGATGTAATGAAATTATACCAACGATTAGAAAAAAAATAATGTTAATTCATATAGTAGTGACAGTGCTACTGCTGAACTTAAATTAATCTATTCGAGATAAATAAAAAAAAAAGTATTTGCCAGGTGTGGGGTTCGAACCCACGCTCCCTATCGGGAACCAAAGCTTAAATCTGGCGCCTTAGACCGCTCGGCCAACCTGGCTTGGTATCTAGATCGGTTTCATTTTAGTAGAGATGTGGTTGCATTCGATTTCAATATTAATTAAAAGATTTGTATAAAATATTCTAAAGAATACATTCAAATAGTGTAGTTAATAATATTTTCATAATGTATATTAATAAGATATCCGTCATTTGCTATTTATAGTGACGTTGGTACGCGGAACCGGCAAATGTGCAAATTCTTTTACAGTACAGTTTACTGCGTCGAAAATATTAATGACGGAAATAAAAAAGAAAATGATCAAAGTACGACAGAGAATATAACTTAAGATAATATAACTTAGTATTGATAATATAACTTAAGAATATATATATAGATAATATAACTAATTACTTAATTAAATTACTTAACTTATTACTACTAATTATAGATAATATAACTTAAGAATAGAACTTAAGATTTGTAGAAGTAAACAATTGAATCATACTTTTTCGTTTGCAATTATTTATATGTAATCAGCAATTATACATATTCTTTTAGTGTCTAATGTAGTACTTTCAAAAGTAATACAAAATAGTACATCGCGGAGACATATAAAAATGACTTCTTGCATTTATTATGTTAAGTAATCACTCAAGTATCATAACAGCAGAATAATACCAATTATTTTTAATTCGATTGAATATACTCGATAATAATATACGAGTTTTTGATCTTTTTGGAAGATCAGCTTCTTTTCCATCGAGAAAAAAGTAGTTTAAAATCATTTATGAAGTTCGACTAATTAGTATATCCAAACAATGGAACACTATAACATACAATTATACTATTGGGTCGGCAATTAAGTAATTGCCGATTTGTTCAATGAAATAAAAAATTTCTTTTTACTTGGAACGAAGTTTAATCTGTAATGTATTTTCCATTTTGTTCGATGACCTTTTGCCATCTCTCCGACAACTTGAAAATTCCACGCTCGTAGAAATTCTGATCCTTTTCGGCCAAAAACTGAGTTAAGTGAGATTTTACAGCGTCATCGTCATTAAAAGTTTTACCACGAAGGGAGTTGTCCAGGGATCGAAATAAGTGGTAATCCGATGGCGCGAGATCAGGGCTATATGGTGGGTGTAACATCAATTTCCAACCAATATCCATGAATTTTTGCCGAGTGGACAAAGACGTGTGCGGCCTAGCATTGTCCTGCTGGAAAATGACACCTTTACGATTGACCAATTCTGCTCGCTTTTCCTTGACCGCTGCATTCAATTTGTCCAGTTGCCAACATTCACGGACAAGGAGTCAATTCGTTTAATCTGGATAAATCTTTTGGTCGCAAGCATTAAATTGATNCTTTTCATTGTTAATCTATTATTTCCTCAATTTCTTATTCTACATTTTCTTTATCGTTCTCTTTCTCTCTTTCAAATTTCTAACGTCATACTTTTTTTGTCTCTCCACTTCTTTTCTTGCAATTTATTTTACCGGACCTTATCCATGCACGTTTACACAAATCGATGTAATGAAATTATACCAACGATTAGAAAAAAAATAATGTTAATTCATATAGTAGTGACAGTGCTACTGCTGAACTTAAATTAATCTATTCGAGATAAATAAAAAAAAAAGTATTTGCCAGGTGTGGGGTTCGAACCCACGCTCCCTATCGGGAACCAAAGCTTAAATCTGGCGCCTTAGACCGCTCGGCCAACCTGGCTTGGTATCTAGATCGGTTTCATTTTAGTAGAGATGTGGTTGCATTCGATTTCAATATTAATTAAAAGATTTGTATAAAATATTCTAAAGAATACATTCAAATAGTGTAGTTAATAATATTTTCATAATGTATATTAATAAGATATCCGTCATTTGCTATTTATAGTGACGTTGGTACGCGGAACCGGCAAATGTGCAAATTCTTTTACAGTACAGTTTACTGCGTCGAAAATATTAATGACGGAAATAAAAAAGAAAATGATCAAAGTACGACAGAGAATATAACTTAAGATAATATAACTTAGTATTGATAATATAACTTAAGAATATATATATAGATAATATAACTAATTACTTAATTAAATTACTTAACTTATTACTACTAATTATAGATAATATAACTTAAGAATAGAACTTAAGATTTGTAGAAGTAAACAATTGAATCATACTTTTTCGTTTGCAATTATTTATATGTAATCAGCAATTATACATATTCTTTTAGTGTCTAATGTAGTACTTTCAAAAGTAATACAAAATAGTACATCGCGGAGACATATAAAAATGACTTCTTGCATTTATTATGTTAAGTAATCACTCAAGTATCATAACAGCAGAATAATACCAATTATTTTTAATTCGATTGAATATACTCGATAATAATATACGAGTTTTTGATCTTTTTGGAAGATCAGCTTCTTTTCCATCGAGAAAAAAGTAGTTTAAAATCATTTATGAAGTTCGACTAATTAGTATATCCAAACAATGGAACACTATAACATACAATTATACTATTGGGTCGGCAATTAAGTAATTGCCGATTTGTTCAATGAAATAAAAAATTTCTTTTTACTTGGAACGAAGTTTAATCTGTAATGTATTTTCCATTTTGTTCGATGACCTTTTGCCATCTCTCCGACAACTTGAAAATTCCACGCTCGTAGAAATTCTGATCCTTTTCGGCCAAAAACTGAGTTAAGTGAGATTTTACAGCGTCATCGTCATTAAAAGTTTTACCACGAAGGGAGTTGTCCAGGGATCGAAATAAGTGGTAATCCGATGGCGCGAGATCAGGGCTATATGGTGGGTGTAACATCAATTTCCAACCAATATCCATGAATTTTTGCCGAGTGGACAAAGACGTGTGCGGCCTAGCATTGTCCTGCTGGAAAATGACACCTTTACGATTGACCAATTCTGCTCGCTTTTCCTTGACCGCTGCATTCAATTTGTCCAGTTGCCAACATTCACGGACAAGGAGTCAATTCGTTTAATCTGGATAAATCTTTTGGTCGCAAGCATTAAATTGATGCAACTCGAACCACGTTGTTTCGAGGTTGCTAAGATCGCGTGTCCCTTTAGAAAATAATTACGAAGCTTCGAGTGTCTTACACGTTACGTTTGTGCGGTAAAATGCTTTATTTATCAGATAAGTAACGAGGCCTGCAGGATGAAGGAAACTCTATAGCTATGAATGAGGATTACCGATAATCAGCAGATGGTAATATTCTTTTACATCGATAGACGCGTGATACGTTATACTCGGAGGGTAGCATTGCCGGGGCTCACAAACAGAATTCAAATGGAGCCAACTCGTCGAAAGAGCAGATCTTATCGCAGCGAACTGTCAAGGGTGCATCACAGGATTGCTCCTATCCCTGCCAAGCCCCGCTGGTTCATCCCCTTTGACGCCCAACTCAAATTCTACCCTGATATCGCTATGACGTTAAGGGCGTGTACGCAGCGGTGCATCAAAATATTATATGTTTTAGCACGATATCATTTGCAGTTATTAAGGAAATAAGATTTTCTTCTTATTTAACATTTGCAGTGTTCACATTTTAATGTGGAAATAAGTCTAGAACCGTGCGAGAGAAAATTTGTGAATCAGGATGATAAGATAGCTGTTTTCTCTTTATTTATATTTAATATATCATCTATACGATAGTTTCGAAGAATAAAAATAAACTTAAACGACTATTTGATTATCGCGTAGCTTTTTTTTCTCATTAGATTAAATTAATTTGTAATGCATGAAATAATAATAATAATAAAAAGTCTTATTGATGCAAAGATTTACATAATCTATGTAAAATTAGAGCTCGATGTAATTAAAATACTAATATTTAAAAGTTTTAGATAAGTAAATTATCTTGTTAGAAGTTTTGGAGCCGGATTTAGAATCTCAATGTTATCGATACAACGAAATTCTGCACGAAAGATTCGGTTACTGAAAAATTTAACCGATGTTGTCTATTTATCATAAAATCTACAGCTTTATTTTCCTTCGCAGATACCAATCAGATGGAGTGTGGTACACCTCGTGTACTGTTTTATGTGATTGCACGTGCCGAAAGAAAACTAAGCTGACGGCTCGCGGCGGATTGGCGGGTAGCAGGGGCGGGTTGTTTGCAGCGAGGGGCTCCGAACACGTGAGTGAAAAAGCCTATTAGTAAGTATACACTGAAGTGCAAAATCTACTGTTGCGAACCTTGAACAGGATTGCAGTGTGTTCCACAATTTTTTTCACATTATATTATACTTTCAATTCACTCCATTTTGTCAAGGACAACGCGGATAAATTATTTATTGGCTGCACCATTAAAGCGATCTACTATTTGCACAGCGACGTATAAGCGTAATTTACGTTCAACTGATTTTCTCGAGTAGGGGCACTGTAATAAATACTACCGAGGAAACATGTTTTTCGTAAAATAAAAATTCTTACGTTTTTATCTTGTTATATTTAATATTGTTATGTTACCTAAAGGAAAGACACAATGAATGTTGTACAAATTATCGAGGCTACTTACTTATGGTTTCGAGCTATGAAAAATTCTTTTATAAATGCCATTTTTCAGTATTTTACATGATCTTTTCATGTTTTATTTTACACTCGGTGACGCACAATAGTGTTTGTACACGAGAATAACATTTATTCCATTCAATTTCATCTGTTTTTCGTGTACAACATCTTTAAAAAAGCTCTTAACCATCGACTAATATTTGCTAAAAAAACGTATACGTGTCAAGTTTACATCAAAATATCAATCAAAAAGCATCCGACGAATTATAAATAACTTTATATGAATTAAAATTGATATTATTATAATACATTTGAATGTACAGATGTTAATAATCGGATTAAAAAATGTATAAATTAGCGCGAACTTACTTCGCTTCCGTTTCTCTTTTGTTCCATTCAATCGTTACGAAAACAATCCGAACGGTTTGGAAACAGTGGTCGGTAATCACGCGATGTTTGACGACAAAAAAAACAAGGGAATCAATTTGATTAATTAGTCGCTGCGCGTTCCCGTGGACCGCGCGTCGCGTAAAATAATAGCCGGATGACAAATCAGCGACGAAGTAGAATGTTTTCGCAGGAGCCTGGTAGGGAAGCTATATCGCAAGAAAAATGGTTTCGCATTGTTCCCGCGTTGTAACGTTTTTCTATGAGGCACGTGCCGGTCGTGCCGCATGCCACGTGCCGGCCAATCGAAATCTAATAACACAAACAGCCTTACAATAACGCGCGTCGTGTACGCGCTACCGTTTGGCGGCCGGAGGTAATAGGACACCATGTGAACTAATCGCCCGGGATTGGCTCTCGAGATCCTCTTCCGCTATTTGTTGATCCCACCGTGTGGTCTCTCCTGGGAGAACAAGCGCTGTACCAGAAGGTGCTTCTAATCATTTTTAGATCGACGTGAAATAATCGAGATCTACTTTGTTAGACTCGAAATTACGAGATCATCTCGATAAAATTGAATAATAATCACAAAGGAGTCGGCTGAGAGTATTCCGGTAAACAGCGACGATTTATTTCCGCTCTCTTACGATACATTTTTTTGATTACAATAATTGTATAGAAATCATATAATAGAATATAGAAATTTCATAATATTTTTCATTTCTCAATTTTATACATTTTAATTATATTATATATTAATATTCATTTTTACATGTAATAGAATATAAGAAATTCATTATATAGAAATCATATAATCATTATATAGAAATACGAACGATTTAAATGCAATCGGTGTCGGCGTTAGGCAAAATATTATTTCAAATAGTAAATGCTCATTCCTCCAACGATTGTTTATGTTCTTCTAAATAATATATAATAAATATATAATAATATGTAAGAAATAATATAAAATAATAAAAATGTATAAAATATACAGGGTGTCCCAAAAATGTCTCGCAATGCGAAAATGACGGGTTCCTCAAGTTATTTGAAGCAACTTCTTCCTTTACAAAAATGTTCTCCGAGGCACCGTTAACGAGTTATCAACGAAAAACAGTGACCAATGAGAGGCGAGCTCGTCTGGCGCGAGGCGACCGAGCCAATGAGCGGAACAAAGCTTCGTGCGCTGATTGGCTGGGCCGCCTCGCGTCAGCCGTACTCGATTTTTATTGGTCACTGTTTTTCGTTAATAACTCGTTAACGGTGCCTCGGAGAACATTTTTGTAAAGGAAGACGTTGCTCCAAATGATCCGAGGAATCCGCCATTTCCGGATTGCGAAACATTTTTGGGACACCCTATATAATAAATACAAGATCATTAAAAATAGAAACAAGATGTTACACCAAATTTCGGATTAACGAGTACGAGTCAATTAGCAAACAGATTTTATGAAAAAAAAACAAATATTTCGTACCTACCTCGGCAGCAACTGTGATCGACGAAGGCGACGATGGGATTGAAAGAATGACAAAAGTTCGTTCTTAATTCTCAAAAATGTAAGTTGAATTTATTTTAATATACACCGACGAGTGTCCGTACGCGCGTGTGCGTGCCTGTGCGGCATCCGCCAGCGTACACCAACGACGCGTCATCTAAAATATGACATGATCGAACGAAAGTGATAATCAATATTACAATCAACATCACAAGATCACAGAGCGCGGCGGCTCCTGGACAAAGAGCGCACCCATCGCGAGGCGCGAGGGTGCTCGCCAAGTCGATATGCAAAAAGGAACTGTTTACAATAATCAATTTTTTTTTGTTTTAACGACACTCGTTCCGATAAACGATACGATCTACGCTCGTAATCCACTGGAAAACTCTGGACTAATTATGGATTTCAAGTTCTGATATATGCTTCTTCGTATACTTTCGTGAGATTCGTTCGGTATGAGATTCGTTTTGGGCCGGCTCGTCAATGATTCAAATCATCTATACTGTATACGGTTCACTTTTTTTTAAATCTTTTTACAGAGTTGTCACGCGCAATCCGCTGTTTAACGTGGCCCGACATTTAGAACGATTCGTGCTCTTTGGAGAATTTCAGGCGCGATCGCGCGAAATTAGCCGTGGAAAACACCCGGAGAACGTAAAATCGGTGGAATTTTTTCGGAACGAACTCTCTCGGCGAACGTTTGTTTTCGCCCGAGACGTCCGTTTCGGTGAAACAATCGAAAACAGGAGGATACTTGTACGCTTGGTAGAATTTTTGTCGAATGTACTACACAGGGTGTCCCGAAATCGTGGCACTTCCGGGAGATGAGAGGTTCCCGAGGTCGTTCCGAGTAACTTTTTCCTTAGCGAAAATGTTCTACGATGCTTCATTTACGAGTTATTAACGAAAAACAGTGACCAATGTGAGATCAGCTGACGCGACGCGGCCGAACCAATCAGAGTACCTGGGCGTCGACCGCTCGTTGGCTCGGCCGCCACGCGCCGGCCAAAGCTCGCCTCTCATTGGTCACCGTTTTTCGTTGATAACTCGTAAACGAAGCCTCGGAGAAAATTTTCGCTAAGGAAAAAGTTGCTTGAAATGACCTAACGAACCCCTCATTTCCAGGATGTGCTATAATTTTGGAACACCCTGTACACTTATTCCACCGACTATACGCGTGTATAGTCCGCACGTTGAAAGGTTGGATCGCCGCCATACAATCATACAATTATACGGAGTCAAGCTACGGTTGCTCTACGATTATGTACACCTATATATAATAATTCTTCGTCCTACAATCCCGTTTTAATATCGTTTCGTTGGGCTCCTAGAAATAATTCTGTCGTCTTTTTTTTTTTGTACATCGCAACAATATTTACAAGAAAATTTACAAATTACACGTTAGACGATACGCTCTACCTAGCTGATATTGGTTAGTCTTCTTAAAACGTACGGGTAGGAAGTTAAAATTTCAAAGTCGAAAATGCTCTCTAAAACTATGATGTCTGTTATTCAGTGATAAGCGATATGTCCGTCTAGCCGGTGTCCGCGTTCCCCGACCCTCGACAGCTTTCTGCTCGGATTCATTAGAAAATTCCCCGACACCCTGTGAACAACGCACTATCTTCCTGCTCACACGTATACTGCTCCCGTTCACCGAACACGTACGATTTGTCGCGCGAAATTTCTTCGACCACCTTGCTACAAAATCGATGGAAAACACTTTCAAAAATATTCTGTCACAAGTTTTCGTCGCGTTAAACGGCGGCGCGCGCCCGCGAAAGAAGACGAAAATGCCGGACGCGTTCGAGCCCATCCGTGAAAACGCTCTCCTCGCATTCCGATACAGCTACATCGGTATTACGAGACGACTATAGTCGTTCGGCCTGGTGAATCTTTTCGTTGACAGCTTGGGACAGCTTCTCCGTAAGCTGACGGTACGGCGGGATGACCGAAACAATCCAGGAAAAATGATCTTACGTGGTAGATTTTAGTTCACTAGACTGCGGATTTTAGAGGGGGAGAGAGACAGAGAGATTCATAAAATTTATAAATATCGTAACATCGTTTTCAACGTGTCCAAATCATCAAGAGACGAAACAAATCATCGAAACCTCCCGTTCCCTGCGATCGATGCGGAAAATTCTGAATCTCGCATAAAGATCCGCCGACTAATTACCGTGATTGGAACAGCAGAAAGTGTGCGGTCGCATCATCCTCAACGAAACAAAGTTACCGTGTTCGAGGGTTGAACGTTTTTTTTGTTTACAACAGTCTCTGTTACACAACACCGAGAACCGACAACGATCGATAGATTGCTCTTCGCACTTCGAATACGGCCGATCTTAATTATCTTCGGTTTCACTTTCGTATAAATATTGTACCATCCGAGCGACTATGTCGATAGATGCGGGAAAAGAAAGAGAAAGAAAACAAGTGTTTCTCGATATGTATCATTCCTTAACTTATTCGATCGTTGATCGTAAAACGTTATCGATTTCTTTTTGCACTGGTTTCGATATACAGAACTTCCAAACACGATTTTCTCAAGCTCCGACGAGAACGATTACGCGTTTCTTTGTTTTTCCCCCGACTATTTTGTGCTGTAACTGGGAAAACGTGGGGCCCGAACAGGCCCGACTCCGACTCCCGGGAAAGCGATATTGTCAACTACAAATACAATGATTAAGGGAACGTTAGAATCCGCTGAAACGTTCGGCGTCAGCGAATCTCGCTTTCGCGAAGGCGGAGACATTTCGCGTTCTCGTCGGAGCTTACATCTCGTAACACTATTTGTTACTAGACGAGAGCAACGGACTGGCGGTGTTTGAGTATCCTTGGCTGCAGGTGGGCAACATAAATGGATTCATGTTGAACGGCGAACCGACAACCTCTCCTAGTCCTGCAACATACCCACTGTCGGTTATACGTTAGTATAATTCGCCATGACGTAAAATGAAAAATAAACGGACGAGAACGTTGCGAAACAAGGATCAACTGCCATGCGACGTGTGCATACAACTTGAAAAAAAAACAATTAACCCTTTGCGCTCGAAGCCGTTCTAACTGTAAATCTAAATTAATTCTTTTCCGACTTATAGTAGTTCAATTTTGTGACTCATGCAACAGACTCAGACTTTTAACAATATTTTTGTGTCAAAGCTTTGATAATATAAATATTATTTTGGAACGTGATGTAACAATTTTAGCGGTGATTCAGAGTCACCACTCGAGTGCAAAGGGTTAATTCGAATAGGTTGAATTTATATAACGTTCGAAACGTTTCTGTTTCGAGTGAAAATATTTTTTAAATATTCCCAAGCTTTTTATATTCATAAAGATCCGCGGTGTAGTTATTAGTTCGCATTTTTCTTTTACAAATTCAGCAAAATTCCCTAATTCGCGCTCGGATTGCGCACAAAAATGGACAATTTTGGAGGAGGCGATACGATTATTTATTTTTACTAATTATTATTCCCAAGCTTTTTATATTCATAAAGATCCGCGGTCTAGTAACTAGTTCGCATTTTTCTTTTACAAATTCAGCAAATCTCCCTAATTCGCGCTCGGATTGCGCACAAAAATGGACAATTTTGGAGGAGGCGATACGATCATTTATTATTATTAATTATTATTCCCAAGCTTTTTATATTCATAAAGATCCGCGATCTAGTAATTAGTTCGCATTTTTCTTTTACAAATTCAGCAAATCTCCCTAATTCGCGCTCGGATTGCGCACAAGAATGGACAATTTTGGAGTAGGCGATACGATCATTAGAGCCTCGCGGCTCGTTTTTATAGTCCACCGATTGCCAACAACTATAAAAACAAGTCTCAATAATAATAATAAGGCTCGAATAATCGCATCTCCATTTTCCAAGTCGTCCATTTTTGTGCGCAATCCGAGCGCGAATTAGGAAGAAATTACAGTACTCCCGTTTCCTCGCGACAAAAATCTCAATTTGTGCCGTAAAATCACGTTGGAAAATTGTTGCGAGGCTTGCATAGTCCGCAGCTAATTGATCGATTTGCAGCAGTTCGCGTGAGTCAGCTCGCACGCTGCGGAGACTTGAATGAACTGCACGCAGTATCGGATCGAAGGTCGGTGCACATTACAACACGAAGAACGAGCTGTATTTCAGGCGTCGTCGAGACACGTGCCAACAAAATTGCCACTCTAATGATCTCGTCGGCTAAGTGGTTCTCTTAACTATCAATGGCAATAAACGGTATAATAACATTCGTCTCCGTAGCGCCTTTTCAAACGGCGCTGGCAATAATGGCGCGCGAAGGTTTGTTTTTTATTCTTTCAATAGACGATTCATCGAACACTCGGATTATTTGTCTCGACGAAAAGCAACCGTCGTTAAATACTGCCGTAAATTATCGATTCGATTCAGCAAAACTCTCGCCTAGTCTAGAATTCGCCGGATATTATAATAAATTTGTTTTTGCCAGAGTTTTCTAGGTTGGCAAACGGCGGGACTGATTTTTGATCGCTATTCTTGTCGGAAGTAAAAAAAAAGAAATGCGATAACAGTTATCGCGTATGCAAGCGATTTTGCAAATTAAAAACATATACTACAAGCTCGTGGAAATGAAGCAAAAATTATTAACGCGTATTAGAAGCAATCAGCGGTCCACGAATCTTTGCGCAAATTCCCATTTTCGTGAAAACTGAAATAGAATTTCTTTGACCGGCTAAGAAACATTTTTTTAACGAAAACAGCGACATTTCTAGAATTATCGGAAGTTACGCGTGCCCGCGAGTGCACAAAGATCCGCTGAAGATCGAATAATTCGCGCAGGAGAAAACGTCGCATAGAAAACAAAGAGAGAAGGCGAACGCAAACCGAATGTAATCAAGGGTGGCGGCAGTAAACAGGGGTGTTATCAACGGTTCGTAAATGATCGTGTGTACATACATTCTCGAATCTCGTCTCTTGTGAATGTTTCTCATAATTCTTTAATCGCAGTGCATGGGGTGGTTGTGGTGGTGATGATGGTGGTTGTGATGGTGGACGGTTAGCGGTTACTGGGCGGCTGTGGCGAGGTGGTGCTGTGTGGACCAGTGCGGTGGGACTGAGGTAGTCGGTGGTCGTACTACGGGGGCGAACGCACTCCCGTCCCCGGACGTATAGAAAATGCCATACTGTTCGTGCGCTAAAAACGAAAATTTCACATAAGGAAAACTCATAAACGTGCGTGCACTCGGAACGTGAATACCGACAAAACATGGGAAGCTTGTTGGCTGTTGCGTGTTTATAGGGCTCGGTGTACACGTGCACATACACGTAGAGACACGCATGCGCATCGGAATCGGACGACGACAACCAAACTGTGCCCAAGTCGAACCGTTCTCGAAGTTCGTGCCAACGCAAAGCGGCCGTTCCGCATCGAAATTGAACCTCGATCTTTGATATTCGTCGAAGATTCGATTTACCGAACCGTTTCAACCCTTAGCATCATGATCCTTCTATTGTCCCTGGAAAAGTTTCTAGTACACATATTTCACTAGGTTCTCGGTAATTAGTGCAATAGCAATAATAAAAATAATATAATAAAAATAATAATAATGATAATGATAATAATAATAATAATATAATATAGGCTTCGTTTATTGTTATTTTATCCACGCTCAGTTGGAAGAATAAGTATCTTGTATTTTCGTTATAATAATATTATTTTAGACATATTTTATTAAGTAAGTATCGTTAGTGATCGATATCAGTCTACCGAATCAGCTAATTACTTAAATTATAACGTAAACATAATGTAAGTACAAGCAATGTAATCCGAATAGGTTTCGTGTAACACGATATTATAATATAAACTCATAAAAACAATATATTTCTTATATAATAATATTCATATATATATTATATATAATAATATATATTAATATATATTATACATAATAATATTTCAATATATTTCTTCTATTACATATCTTCGTTTCAGTCGTTACTGGAAGGGTTGTCGACGCTTCCTAAATCGATCGACGAAGTTTCGTTCTCCTCTTACTTGTTGTTAAGGTAGTTCAAGAGTAATTACATGTAATTCTATATTTCGACATCCCCGATTTGGCAGATACCGCAAAAATTAATAATTCGCCGCAAAAATCGACAAATGTCATGATGCCGAGGGTGAATTATCCGGGACCATTCCGCGACGGTTCGACGTTCGACAGATTTTGGGCGACGAAGAAGCGATGAGACGAATCGACAAGAATGTTCGGGAGGGCGCCGCGGGTACTGAAAAATGACTTACGCGAAGTGTAAAGGGTTGGACTACCCGCGTAGGGATTGGCGACCGAGTAACTTCCATTGGTGCTGTGACTGTGGGGTGTGCTGGCCGAACTTCCGCAATAACCGCCGCCAGTTACAACCCCGCGTGGACTCGCGCTACTGCTTTGCCTATAGGCGTCGACGTTTCCACCGACGCTGCCACCGACGCTGCCCCCGACGCTGCCACCGCCACCTCCGCCACCTCCGCCTCCAGCATTGGCTCCTGTCGTCACGGAACTACCGTCTAAAAATAGAAACCTGCCCGTCAGACGAACCCGTCAGTATTTCATCATTCTGTGAGCAACTTGTTGCCTAACCCTTATAACCGGACACGTGATTCTCGGCCTCGCCCTTTACGAACAAATGGAAACGCAACGAATTCACGAGATTCCTTGCGGATCGAACGTGACCGTTCGATTCTCTCTTTATCGATGTCCTGAACAACGGAAATGCGGTCAACCCTTTCGGTACCGGTAGTCGTACATCCGTGATAACTACGGTTTCGCGTTTTTGGTACAGAAAATCTAGAACTGTAGTAAATTTTCCCCAATTTTCCTTCGGTTTGTAAAGAAAGATGGATAATTTGAAAGAGGAGATATTATTATTATTATTATTACTATTATTATTATAATAAGAGAAGATTATTCGTGTCTCGGGATTATTTTTATAGTTGCCGATTGTCAACAATTGTAAAAAAAAGGGTGCAAGTCTCGAATAATCGTATCTTTTCCTCCCAAATTGCCCATTTTTGCTTACAATCTGAAGGAAAATTAGGGAGAATTTACTATAGTTTGATGCGCGTTGTTATTTCGATGGTTGCAAGGAAGAGCGCAAAATCTTTTCTTACGAATTGTAAATCCTATATTTTATAGCCCAATTAATGCGCGAACTTAAGATTTTTCAAATTACGACACGTGAAAAGAAATCGAGATAAAAATTTCTCGGAGAATCTTTCGAAATCGGAGCTTCCGATGGCATCGAAGAAAGCTTTACACGCCGAGGGTTAAAATTGTAGCACGTGGTGTACGATATTTTCGTTCGATTAATTTCGTTAGATCGAAACAGCAACGATGCGCCGTGTTATCTGATCGCTTTCGATTCTGTTTATTGCTTGGCCACCAGTCGCTGATTTAAAGTGAAAAGCTAAAAGAGATTCGCCGAAGAGACAATTTTCGTCGAAAATAAAAAAGATACAGTAATTTCTCCCTAATTCGTGCTCAGATTGCGCAGAAAAATCGACAATTTGAGAAGAAGAGAAACCATTATTCGAGCCTTGCGTCTCGTTTTTATAATTATTGACATTCGGTAACTATAAAAAACGAGCCACAAGGCTCGAACAATCGTGGCTCCTCTTCGCAAATTGTCCATTTTCGTGGGCAATCTGAGCGCGAATTAGAAATCACCGCAATCGGAAACGGAAAGAACGCCGCAGAAATCTTCTCGGCGCTAACTTTGGGAAACTAAGGCCTGGAGGACGGAACTTGATCGTGTGACGTCGTGGTTACCATTTTCTGTGGAACACGAAATAACTTTGAATATTTACCGTCCGTCCATTTCGCCGCACTACCGTTTTCTTGCACTGTCACCGCTAGTTGCCCTGTATACGAGTTGAACGCCGTCGCCGAACTGGATGTGGGCGGCGCAGGTGGGTGGCCCGATCCGGGACTCCTGGGAGCACCTGTAATTCCCGCGTTTCCACTTCTGGGCATACTGTACAAAGCTTCCGCGAGGTCCGCCGCCCTCTTCAGTATAATCTCCTTCGGTAATTTCTCGGGGTCGCCGGGGTGCCGGGGGATCAGCTTTTGTAACCTTTGGAAGCCATAGTCGATCGTTGGCTCGTTCAATGCTGAAAGATTAGCGAAAACACGGTGTTGCTTTAACGAGATCCTATTGAACGAAAATTGTTAGTCGATCGTAAAACTGAAACATAGAAATATCTTGAACATTTTGGGACACCATGGATTAAACGGTTAACGATCTCTTCGAAGAGGGTGCAAGTTACTGTGATTATACTGTATATGTTTGAGTTTCTTCTTATTTTGTCTGAATACAACACTTTTATAACATATATAATTTAATAAAAAATTTCAAAGTACGCATCCTTCGAGAAATGGCAACATTTTGTGCTATCAAGAAGACCAAAAGAGTTTATAAGAGTGTGGATGTGTTAAATTTAACCTATTGAAATTATTTAAGAAACGTGGAGATTTCTATATGATTCTTGTTTCCTTAAAATCGACGGATGGAATTTTTATTTTGCGCAAAAATCCGCGGCGCGATTATAACTCACTAGGCGAAACTCTTATTAATTTCGGATAACGCGAATCCAACTGTTATCAATGCAATATTGAATATCAAACTAAAAGGTACACATTCGATGATTATACTCACAAACATAGACAAATCTCCCAGGCGCCCCCTTGCAAAATTGTTTAGTCTTATACGATAATGTGACCTCGACGACACCTGGTATTTGCCTCGGCGGAGTTTGAACCCTGATCGCGTTCGGCGTGATTAGCTGAAAACGAAGAATTCGCATGATCAATTTATCGAGTACAAATATTAACGAAACAATCGATTTACCAAATTTGTCTACTGCTTGAAATGAAGATAAATTAAGTACCTCGCTCCAGACCAACATCGACCCGAACACTACTTGAAGCCCGTCAAAGAAATTGTCACCTATGATTATCACCGTCGATCCTCCGGTCGTCCAGCCTTCGTTCGGCGATATTGCCTTTATGCACGGTGTTTGCAGGGGAACTGGAGTGTAGAGACCTGATCGTACGAAAGGGTTCGTTAGACATCGCGAGAGAGCAGGTTAGCTATTGAGTTGGCAACTAAGTAATTGTCGATTTCAGTTATAGATGTCTTTCGCTCCCATTTTTACGATATCCGTAAATGTTATATTATAAAATTATTATTATTATTATTATGTTATTTTTTATTATCCGTGAATGTTAGCAACTGGACAAATTGAATGCAGCGGTCAAGGAAAAGCGACCAGAATTGGTCAATCGTAAAGGTGTCATTTTCCAGCAGAACAATGCTAGGCCGCACACGTCTTTGTCCACTCGGCAAAAATTGATGGACATTGGTTGGGAATCGATGTTACACCCACCATATAGCCCTGATCTCGCGCCATCGGATTACCACTTATTTCGATCCCTGGACAACTCCCTTCGTGGTAAAACTTTGAATGACGATGACGCTGTAAAATCTCACTTAACTCAGTTTTTGGCCGAAAAGGATCAGACTTTCTACGAGCGTGGAATTTTCAAGTTGTC